CTCGCACCCCCGCCGACACATACGTACAAGGGGGTACGGCGTTCCCGGAACGCCGTACCCCCTCCCACCCATCCCCCCTCCCTCACCTGCAAAAAGCGTATGGGGGGGAGGTTAGGGGGGGGGGGAGGGGGAAGGGAGGGTACGACGTTTCCAAAACGCCGTACCCCCCTACCTCCCCCCCCCTTCCCCCGCCCACAACTTCCCTCGCCAACTTCTCCCATGCCTCCCTCCCTATGCACCATCAGTAACGGACGAGGGGAAGAGGGAGGTTGGGGGGGGGGGGGGATCAACGGTTGTGATGCCTTATGGGCACCTGCCTAGATGAGGAGATGTATTCATGACTACAGATCATGAAGATCTGATCACCGTGTTATGATATTTTGAGGGGATATATTATTGATACTGCTATAGACTTGCTTGAACAATTGCGTCTCGTCCGTTCTATGCTGATACGTATACCGATACGTTTCGTCATTGTCTCCAGTGCATTAAGGTTGGAGGACGATGAATATCCCATCATGAGTAGCGGCAGCGAGAGTTGCCGTTACGTTTCTCTACCGTCGAAACATCAAGTGGAAGGGATAACGTCTTCTATAAAGGTTATCAGCTGCGAGAGTCGCTGCCCTTCGACACCACTCACACCGTCCAAGCATAGACCGGGGCCTGGCTTCCTTCAAAGTCCGTGGAAACGAAGCGACATCGGTGTGCCACCTTTTCTTGCCTCTAATAATGTTGGTCGTCGTCTTAGTCTTGACGACATATTGAACAATGCTCTTCCTCTCAATCTACATGGCGAACCCACCGTCGACCGTGGAGACCCTGTTACTTTTCGAACTCTTGACTCGGTTGCGGAACATGACGGCGAAGAAAAGTGTCACAAGTTCGAGGACGAACATTGTGCAGACGACGGACGGTCCACTCCTCCATCGCATGGGGTGGCGCCCATACGAAACGATAGCACTCGCGACCATCCACGGCCTCCTTCGCCCGGAGGGCAAGGGAAGCGAAAATACACATACAGGAACAGGAAAAAAGGATGCAGTGATTCCTCGTCCGCATTCGAGCGTAGATGCAATCTTGAGGAGTGCGAAATAGTTTTGAAAAAAAAATGCTGCTCGAAATTTGATTGTCTTCGACGGTTGACAGCGCAAGATGTTCAGAAATGTAGACGAGAGTATCGTGCACTTAGAGGTCGGGACAGTCGCAGGTGGTGGATTTCGAAATTGCAAAACTTTATCTCTCTGGTTGACAGGAAACCTTCTGTGAAGCCGATAGTGCAAATGCGTCCGATTGGCGTGACTGCATAGTGTCTTATTGTGGGAGTGGGGCGGAATACGTTAAAAAGGCACACGGACGACCTCGACGACGGAACGAGAGATGTCGTTCACGGCCATGAAGGGTGCCCTAGGACGAACGCTAGATACGCCATTACGTGGTCAACATTTGATGATATAATTCTGAACGAATCCGATCCGATGCCAGATCAGATAGAGACTGACCCGCTTTTTGAGATTAGGAACCGCATCCGCCTTCCTTCCGTATACGCTACTAAGAGAGATGTTCATCGGAGCATCGAAAGAAGACTTCAGAAAATCGGCATTGCTTGCTCGTCGTACCAGGCTATGTATCCCCCGTGGTCATGACCGCGGGGTCTATCTCGGCGAGCGGTCGGAATCCCAACCGTTGAGGTCGGACCCGCGGTTGGGTGCGGCCGAAAATTTCACACATTTAAAAAAAAAAAAAAAAAAGGCAAAAAAAAAATTAAAAAAATGGGGTTGTAGGGTTTGAAGAGACCTACAACGCGGTAATTTTGTTTTTGGATTATAAAGTGTTTTCTTATTTTTTAAAAATAGAAAACCAAAAAACATGTATTTTGATCAAAATAAAGTTAATAAAAAAAAAGGGAAATTTTTATTTTTTCGTTTGTGTGTGTGTGTATGCATGTGGGGGGAGGAAGGGCGACCCCTTCCCC